AGAAAGGAGAACAACAGCATAATAATAATAATAATCCTCACAACACAGATTAAAGAATCTTCTGAAGTTAAAAGGAAGAGAGGGAGAGGCCAAAGATCAAAGGGGGCAGGAAAGAGAAACACACACACACACACACACACACACACACACACACACACACCAGTCTAATACTGCAGGAGATGGTGGACATGAGGAAAAAAATGGACCCCACGGACCACTAGAGATTATCTAGAGCTAATATTACTTCATTTATTACAAACACAAATCTGGTTAACTTCACATAGTGGGGATAAAGAGGACTGACGATTTGTATACAAGTCATACCTTTCAAAAAAGACATCATGGGGGCACCCGGGTGGCTCAGTCGGTTCAGCGTCCGACTTCGGCTCAGGTCATGATCTCACACTCCGTGGGTTCGAGCCCCGTGTCGGGCTCTGTGCTGCCAGCTCAGAGCCTGGAGCCTGCTTCTGAATCTGTGTCTCTCTCTCTTTCTGCCCCTCCCCCACTCACATTCTGTCTCTCTCTCTCTCTCTCAAAAACATAAACATTTAAAAAAATTTTTAAAAATTAAAAAAATAAAGACATCACATGTGTCACACCATTTGATTCTCGCGACTCGCTCGTGATAAAAGTAAGAAACAAAAGGAGTAAATGGGTTCAAACTCCATGCATTATTCAGCCACTTCCTTTTCCCCCACTTAGTATCTTGGACAATTCGTCACACAGATTTATCTAATTCATTGTAAATACCGTGTTCTCTAGTGTGGAGATATATTCCGAATGGTTTAGCCACTGCCTACAGTCACCACTCCTGCGTGAGTTTTGTGGTGATGCTGTAGTTAGGATCACCAGATCACGGATGAGACACAGAGGACCACAATGCTGAAGACTCCACAAGCAGCCAGTGTGCTCCCTCTCAGGTCCAGCGCCCTGAGAGCTGCTGTGCTGGTGATCGGTACCAGCAGGGGTGTGGCTCAGACTGTTGCGGAACCTGAATGTCACCTGGGGGACTCACCTGCTCCAGGTCTTCTGCTGACCTTTTGCTTTCTCCAGTTGGATCCTGATAGGGCAAGACAAAGAGCTCAGCTGCGGTGGGCAAGCCAGGGAGTACTGCCACCAAGATGTGCTCGCCTGGGACCCCTGTGGCCTGAGGGAGAGACAGAAGCTCCTATAAGTCCCATAGGAAAAGGTGGTGAGAAGCATGGAAAAGCACGGAGTACTCTGAGAGGGTGGGGGGTGCGGGCAGGCAAGAAGGACGTGAGCTTTCTGGAAAGGACCTGACATGGTGCAAGGCCGCTGAAGCCCGTGCCAATGACACTCCCAGGGGCGAAGTTAGCGATCTGTCCCCAAGGGATGTGTGTGCTGCATCTCTATTTCTGCCACAGGACACGTGGCAGGTAGAAGAAGGTTAAACAGTGGCCCAAGGCCACCCAGGCAGTGTGTGGTGATGCTGAGTTTGGAACTGTGGTCTAACCACGAAGCCCGTGTTCTCAAGCACGGCTGTACTGCCTCCCTTCGCCTGATGCTTACATGCAGGAGCCCCTATCCCAGCTAACATCCTCTTTTGGGGCCTTCCTCGATTTGAAACTCAGACATTATATCTGAATCATCCTCAGTATATGCAAAAATGTTGATTGAATGAAGTTTGCTTAAAGATTTCACTGTGAAGTGTCAAGAGAAAAATCCCATTTGATGAGATAAAGGGAACCGGTTTTTAGATAATATTCTGTTACATAGTAAATTGGAAGAAACATGCCAAAAAAAGTTGACCCCAAGTTGTATCTCTTATAGGGTTTATTAGAGTCCAATTGATAGTACGGTACCTTAGGGCTTAAGGAATTAGCCAAGTGTAACTACCCATCTCAAAGACAGGGTGGGATGCTAGGAACCAGGGGCTGGGTCAGCTGCCTCCTGAGATTGGGTAGTCAAGGAGTCTTTGAAATTGGAAGGGATTGGCCCCTCCACCCTACAACACCCTGTCCTGAGAGATGTTGAGTCAACATGTTTATTCTGTATTTAGCTGATTATGCTATGCGGCAGCCTGGAAATATTGATGAGCAGGAGTTTCTAGCCTTCTGGACAGCTGGTGGAAAGGTAGACGCCCAGGGGATGTGATCCCTAGACTATAAATGTGAAGACAAAGCAGCCTGGAAGACTGGTCACTGACGGGCTAATGCCTGGTTGATAAATCACCTGGGGGAGTCGGGCAGCTACCTGGGAGGCCTATAGGGATATGGATCCCCAGAATGCTACAGATGGAAGGAAGGTGTCTGTGGACTCATTGAGGGGTGTGAGTCATCTCTCTTGGACAGCGGAGGAGAGAAACCAGTTGTCGCCCCAGGGACAAACAGCTCCAAGGGCAGAAGGATCCATTCCAGGGGGCCTGTAGTCTAGTCGCTGCGCCCCCTGGTGGCCATGATATTTAGCCACCACCAAGGTCTCGGACGCTGAGTCATGAAGACAAAGGTGAGGTGGCATTTACACAGAGGCACATGAAGGTAGTCCTTCTCCACCCCACTGTTCCATGTATTCCTGTTTCTCCATGTAATAAAGCAAAGGATGGCCATCGAATGGAGTGGTTGGGATCCCACGAGGGTGGTCTGATTCGAGTCTGATTTTTAACAGTTTGGCCTTGGGCAGGATACCTAAGGTCTCTATTTCAGTTTCCTCAGCTGTAAAATGGGAATTATCAGAGTACCTACATCAGAAGCTAGTTCTTTTGTGATTAAATGTGCTAACAAAGGAAAAGCACTGAGAAGAGTTTTTGGAATACTGTTAAGTTCTACATAAATATCAACACAGACAATGGCATGAATGAGGACAAGGCCGGCCCTTTGTCAAAAGGCTGGACATGAGATCTGTTTTCTGAGCAGGGGTTATCTGAATGCCTTTAGCCCATCAGCTTCTTTATGTCACAAGGCATGATGTTCCTGGGTCCAGGAAACAATGGCTAAAACACCCTCAACTGATTTTCCTTTTCAGACTAAGAAGATACCCTGGGGAAAGACAGCTCATCTCTGATTTTCTGGGTTTGTGCAATAAATCCAAGCAGCTCCATGAGATGATATCCCCATTCCTCTGCTTACTCATGAAAGTGGCATATGCAGGGCAAGATGTGCCTAAAGAGACTGTTTTCCCAAATTATCAGTGATACTCAGACAGGGATAAACCACACCATCTTAGTATTCTCCCAGAAAACTTAGGGGGTTGTGTTTCATGTGTACAAACCCAGACATTGGACTCAGACCCTTCACTTCAATGCAGGAGCTTCATCACTTATTAGCTGTGAGACCTAAACAAGTTATTTAAAGTCTCTGAAACTCAGCTGTTTTGCCGGCAAAATGAGGACAATAATACCCTCCCATTGGGGTGGTTGCAGGAGAGAAATGCCTTTAAAAGACCTGAGACACAGAGAGACGGCTGACCATCACGTGCCGAGGGCTCACTGCCTGTGGGGCTGGAGGCCAGGGTTGCTCTCACTAATCGTATTCATGCTGTGTCCCTTCAGTGTTGAGCAGGTGGCTGATCTTACACTTACTAATGACCTGATCATGAACCCTGCCGTATGAATATGATGGCCATAAATTTCCATGTTTCTCTTCTCTAAGCAGAAGAAAAGTTTCACAAGGCGGAAGGACCATGTGTTTGTTCCCAGTCTCATCCCCCTAACTCAAGCGACTGTGCTGTGTCTGCCTGCATGGGGATCCGCTACGCAGAAAGCAGGTGTTTAGCCAGACCTCCCACGGGCTCTAGCTCGTGCCCTGTCAGCTCTCTGCACAAGAGGCCCTCACCATGCAGCTCTTGGAAGACAGAGAGAAAAACGTGTCGGGACAAGAGAAGGAACTGTCTGCACTCACTTCCACCAGGGACTTTTTGATGACTCGGCTGATGTCCCTCCTCCACTCGGGGATATCAGGGTTGTAGTCGTCCAGGTTCGGAGAGAAGGACAGGCGAAGGGACCGGAATTCCTCTGGGGATACAACAGTAGGGTGATCACCGTAAGTCCATGAGTTTTCTCAAAAGTGTGCTGTACTTTATGTTTTATGCAAAGCCTTCGTAATGTGTCTTTTTCCTCCACACTTGCCAGAGAGCCTTCTGGAAGGAAAATCTGCTATTCCCGTTCTAAGCCTGCTACCTCTCCCAGCCTTCGTTTTCTAAACCAAAGCCCTAGGTCTGGCCCATGCCTTGCTCTGCAGCCTTTGCCCACGGTTCCTAGTTCTGGACTGTGCATTCCCAGACACGAAAGACCCGGCATGCCCTGAATGCATGGCAGGTTTCTGACCCTGAGCTTCTGCACTTACTGTCTGTCCCTTCCAAGGAGCACCCCATCCTTTCTATTGTCCACACACACAGTATTCAAGCTCTAGTTCGAGCACTTACCGATTGAATCCTTTCCCCACCATGTTTCATTGTCTTTTTTAAGGGCACTACTGTGAGTAGCACCTATCCCCATTATCATTATATGATTGTATTATTATTATTATTATTATTATTATTTGATTACATGATTATAATTATTATCATTGTCATTCTGTTGCTATGTTTTGTGTGTATGGAACTGTCATTTGATGGAATTTTAAGCTCCTTAACCCAAATAATTTGTTCACTCTCTCTGTAGCTCCTGAGTTCATCGTGATCCTCAAGATAGGATGGGATGACAAAAGCAAGGGTCTGGTGGGGAGAATACGGGAAGCCAGAGGAACTCGGAGAACCACAGCACCAAGACAGACGCATATGTGACATTTATGGAAGAGAGGGAGCAAGGCTTGCTGACCACCCTGCAGTGTGAAGAAGGTTCAGCAGGACCGTCAGGGAGTCTCCGAAGGCACATCAGTGATGAAGGAGTACCCTGCACCCTGGGAATGGGTCTGCTTTAATATCCCTGTCACACTCTGTCATTAGCTGGGATTGGCACACGGGAGGCGTGGCCTTGGCCCAAGCACAGTGACGGGTTTCAGAGCCCAGCCCTGGATAACTTAGCTGAGTACAAGTCAGGTCATGTCGCTGCCCTAAAACCTGCTAGTGGCCCCACATGGTGTTTAGAATAAAAATTCAGCTTTTTAAAAAAAAAAATTTTTTTAATGTTTATTTATTTTTGAAAGACAGAGAGAAACAGAACATGAGCGGGGGAGGGGCAGACACAGAGAGGGAGACACAGAATCCAAAGCAGACTCCAGGCTCTGAGCTGTCAGCACAGAGCCCCATGTGAGTCTCGAACCCACAAACCGTGAGATCATGACCAGAGCCAAAGGTGGTGTGTAACCGACTGAGCCACCCAGGTGCCCCTAAAAATTCAGCTTCTTAACCATGTCCTTCATAGCCCCACATAACCCGGTACAGGCTTTCTCTCCTGCCTCACGTCCACAGGCTTCCCTGTGCTCCAGGACCCTGTCTTCCCCCTGCTTCTGCATGCTGTCATGCTCCTTCCCATATTAGCACTCTTCCACTTCCCCAGAGACAGCACAGGTGGCTCCTTCTCATCATGCAGTCTCTCCTGGGAGAAGCCTTTGCCACTCGCAACCTGAGTTATCCTCCCTTCCGCAGCCTCAGACACCTTTCATCATATGACCCTATTTGTCATCTTCAGACTTCTGGCCACTTAAAGTATTTTGTTTTTACTGTCTGTCTCCCATACTGAAATACTAGGTCAATGAGGACGGAAACTCTGGGTTCCTGGCCCTGTGGGGTGGTGCCCTGCACATGGTAGGTTTTTCTAGTCATTTAATTAATAAATTTTTATTGAATGAATGAATGCGTAAACTTCTCTAGAGGTTCTCTGTAATCTGTGCATGTGCTCCATTCCTTTCTTGTTTTAAGCATGTCCTCACGTTTCAGTAGTGGCTCAGTGACATCAGCAATGCCAATTACACATTCGGAAAACATAAGAGCCCACTTCTGCATTTCCTAACAATGCTAAAGACTTATTAGACACAGGCTTTGAAGATTCTTAAATTATAAGGTGTGTATTTCGGTGGTTAGCCTGTTCCAAAGTCCTATTTTTCAAAGCTTGCCCATTTTATGAGACACTGGTCACCTATATGAATATCAGCACTTCAGTTCTGATGGAGAATAACAAAATGCATCTTAATTAGCAGCATGGAAAATGGAAGCCCCAAGGAATCACTCACTGAACCCTAACTTTTCACTTTAAAGATGTAAGGTAGGGGCGCCTGGGTGGCTTGGTCGGTTAAGCGGCCGACTTCGGCTCAGGTCATGATCTCGCGGTCCGTGAGTCCGAGCCCCGCGTTGGGCTCTGTGCTGACAGCTCAGAGCCTGGAGCCTGTTTCCGATTCTGTGTCTCCCTCTCTCTCTGCCCCTCCCCTGTTCATGCTCTGTCTCTCTCTGTCTCAAAAATAAATAAACGTTAAAAAAAAAAAAAAAAAGATGTAAGTTGATTTTTTTTTTCATTTTCCCTGAACCTCTTACCAAACCATAGAAACCAAATCTATAAGGGAAGGTGTTTATCTTAATAAAAAGACACAAACAGAACAATGATACAGCTCTCTCTGTAATAACTTAGCGGGCCCACTAGCAGGGGACAGGAGTTGCATACTTTAGTTTACTCAACAAGCAGGGAGTGCATGTGGGAGCAGTGGAAAGCATAAGTAGCCGAAGTACATACATACATACAGTTAAGCCTTGAACAATGTGTGGGTTAGGATGCCCTCCCTCACCCTGGTACACGAAAATCGACATTTAACTTTTGACTCCCCAGAAGCTTAACTATTCATTTAAAAAAAATGTTCTGTTTTGTTTTGCTTTGCTTTTGAGAGAGAGAGACAGAGTATGAGCAGGGAAGGGGCAGAAATTGAGGGAGACACAGAATCTGAAGCAGGCTCCAGGCTCTGAGCCGTCAGCACAGAGCCTGACGCAGGGCTCGAACTCACGAACCACGAGATCATGACCTGAGATGAAGTCGGATGCTTAAGGGACTGAGCCACCCAGGCGCCCCAAAGTTAACTATTAATAGTGTATTGTTGACCAGGAGACTTACTGATAACAGAAATAGTCAATGACCACATATTTTGTATGTTATGTTTCATATACAGTATTCTTACAATAAAGTAAGCTGGAGAAAAGAAAATGTTATTAAGAAAATCATAAGGAAGAGAAAATACATTATAGTCCTGTACTGTATTTATCAGAAAAATCTGTATATAAGTGGACCTGTGCAAACCCGTGTTGTTCACAGGCCACCTGTGGGGTGTGTGTGTGTGTGTGTGTGTGTGTGTGCGCGTGCGCACATGTGTTTGCAGCATATTTACATTTTTTTTGAAAGCAAACCTGTGCCCTGAAGCAAATTAAGGAAAACAATGCAAATTACATTTTCTTTCCCACAGTCTATTTTGTGGCTTTGGGTGGACAATCTTTTCCTGGTCCATTTCCCAAATATAATGCTTCCTTCAGTCTGACCATGATGGCCCTAATGTTCCCCTCAGCTTGACTAAATTTAGGCAAATTTCTTCCTGACCACAGCCACTGACCTCCCTTTTCCTAGAGCATTTACTACTTTCGAAAACTTGCAATTGTAGATTCCTCCTCTGCTCTTTTGAGATGCACATCTTCTCCAACCCAGGAATGTCTTTCTTAAGGACCTGGGAACCATATCTTTGAAATGCAACCATCAAGAAAGATAGAAAAATAGTATAGGGTTCCTCAAAAAATTAAAAATAGAATGACCAGATGATTTAGGAATTCTACTTCTGTGTATTTACCTGAAGGAAACAAAAACACTAACTGGAAATGATATCTGCACCCCCATATTCACCACAGCATTATTTACAATAGCAAAGATATGGAGATAACCTACTCTCCATAGAAAGATGAACGGATACAGAAAGTGTGGAATGTATATGTGGAATGTAGAAAAAGCAAAAACAAAACAAAATCTCAGATACAGAGGACAGATTTGTAGTTGCCAGAGGCAGGAGTGGGAAGGTGGGCAAAATGGGTGAGGGTAAAGAGGTACAGCTTCTAAGTATAAAATAAATAAGTCACGGGGATATAATATAGGGCATGGTAACTATAATTATTAATGCTGCATTGAATGTTGAAAATTGCTAAAACAGTTAAAGTTAAAAGTTGTCATCATGAGGGAAAAAAGAATTGTAACTACATACACTGCTAGAGGTTCACTAGACTTGTGGGGATTAATTCACAATATATACAAATAATCATTATGTTGTATACCTGAGACTGATAAAATGTTATAGGTCAATTGTATCTCAATACAAAAATAAGATTGACATACTCTTGCCATGTGTACCAGGAAAGGAAGGAAGGAAGGAAGGAAGGAAGGAAGGAAGGAAGGAAGGAAGGAAGGCAGGCAGGCAGGCACAATGGACCTCTGTCCATGACACAGAAGGAGCCTACCTTTCATGAGCACCATTTAGCAAACACAGTCAGCCTAATGACGGTGATAATCCCTCACCTCTGAATTCCTCCACGAGTTCATCCCCGGGTTTAAAAATATTCCTGACTTTTATTTTAGGTGAGTTCAATCTTGCCTGTTTAACTCTGTGTGATATAATGTATCTTTAATAGATCACACACTTCATTAAGATTTTCTAGTAACACAGGGGCACTTGGGTGGCTCAGTTGGTTGGGCACCTGACTTCGGCTCAGGTCATGATCTCACTGCTTGTGAGTTTGATCCCTGTGTTGGGCTCTGTGCTGACAGCTCAGAGCCTGGATCTTGCTTCAAGATTCTGTCTTCATCTCTCTGCCCTCCTCTGCTCATGCTCTCTCTCTCTCTCAAATATAAAATAAAACATAAAACAATTAAAAAAAAGGTTTTCTAGTAATATGCCTGAAACTCTGACACTTCATCTAACTTAAGATAAATGAAGGATGCTTGCTCAGAAATTTGGTTAGAGGAGGGAAGACCACTTCCTTGCTCAAGCTTTTGATAAAGAGACGATTTTAGTGAAGGTAGCTCATTTGATGGAGAGCGATCCACTCTTGGATGACACCTTTAAAGACATTTTAGCGAGAAGGATAACTAAGCCGGGCAACTGGGTGGAAAGTGGTTAGAAACATTCCCTCTGGATTCAGATTCCTAGGCTCTGTTTATTATACTTAGCTCATATTTCTACATTTGAAAAATAGGAGTAAATATAGCCTATTGTTCATAAGTCTGCTCAGAGAATTCAATAAAACATCATATGTATCAGGTGCTTTGAACAGATGTTGGTAAGGGCTTTGTCAATGTTAATTTTTACCACTACCATCACCATTATTATTATTACTGGAGCTGTCACTGAATAGCAGAATGACTCAAAGCCAGTAATTTCCCATTTCTGGGCTACGATTTCCTCTCTGTGAAATGATGGCATGAGCCAGGTCAGGCCAAAGACCTTCTAGGTTTAACGTTCTCTCTGTGGTTCTGATGAGGTTGCTGATAGGCTTAACCAAGAGAACATCTGTTGGGAGTCATGGGTCAGTGCCCATTAGTGTCACCTATGACATCCAGGAAGGAAAGAGAGGAAAGGGAGTCTCAGATGGAAAAGACATGAAAGCTATTTAGTGGGGGTAATTTCAGAGCATGGGCCCTGGGTCTAGATGGGCAGGGTTAGAAGCCCAGATCCAGAACATATTAGCTGGGGCAAGTTATCTGTCCCGCTGAAGTAATGAGAGTATTAACATCACCTACTATATGCTAGGTCGTCGTGAGGATTCAGTGCATTCACTGAGCATAGAAAAGAGATGAAGAAGGAAAGAGAGGCAAAGGCACTCCCCCAGTTTGGCCACCTGGCTAAGAGGTTGCCTCACTGACGGGACCTTGTTAGGAAAACCACAGCCCTGGTTTGCTCTCACTTACTGTTTGGGCTTAATCAAGCTACTTTCAGGGGCCTGTGGGGGTGGGGGGAGGGGAGGGGAGGAGGGAGGACACATTATGACTCTTAACACCCAGCCATGCGAGGAATAATGTCCTCAGACTTGTTCAAAAATGTTTATAAATTGCTTTTTGAATTTGAAGGTCAAGTTTGCAAGATAAGAAATGAAAGCAGTACCTGCATCAGAGCCAATTAATTCTGGGACTGGGGCAATTGATAATATTTGGACCACTAGCTAGTTTCTCTTTGTCTCTCTCTTTCTGTCTCATTCCTGGTCTCACCCTCCCTCCCTTCATCCCTGTCTTTTGTTCTCTCTCTCTCTCTCTGCACAGCATTTACCTTTCCTATCTACTTTTAAATTTTAATTTTTCATGATGCATATATACCACTTTCATATTAACAATAATTTTCACATTTTTATCATCCACCTATACACTCAGTGCATACCTATCTATCTTTTGGTGCAGGAAAAAAAATTACCAAAATGAGATCGATATGTATAAACTGTCTTTAATACCCCATTTGAAGTCAGTGATCCTATCTTTTCATTTCAGTATATTTTCATTCTGTGCAATACTCTGACTACATTCAACTTCCCCAACTGATTAGCAGAATGTTCTGTATCATTGCTTGTTCAACCAATATCCAATCTATGATGATACATGACATCTGCATGATATTGCTTTTAATTTAATCAGAGTATTTTTTTTTTAATGATATGTATTTCTGGAACAGATCTTCAGAATATTTACATATTGGTAGATTCTTCTTAATAATCAAGACTCTTAAAGTTAAACTTTAAATTGTTTGAAATTTATTTATTGTGTGTGTGTGTGTGTGTGTGTGTGTGTGTGTGTGTGTGTATGTGAGAGAGAGAGAGAGAGAGAGAGAGAGAGAGAGAGAGCGCACATGAGTAGGATAGGGGCAGAGAGAGAGGGAGAGAGAGGATCCCAAGCAGGCTCCACATTCAGCGCAGAGCCTGATGTGGGACTCAAACTCACGAACTGTGAGATCATGACCTGAGCTGAAATGAGCTGTCAGATGCTTAACTGGCAGAGCCACCCAGGTCCCCCTTAAAGTTGAACAAAAGCCTAAATATCATCTATTTTCTTTTATAATGGGGGTTTTAGTTATTCAAACACCACCAGAATACCAAATGGAATGGATCAGCTTTATACATAATGAAACTCATTCCACCCCACCCAGGTGAATGGGTGTAGAGCTGCCCTTTGTGCCCCAGAGCCACTTTCAGGAAACAGTCCAATAAGCGCCCCCAGGGTCTTGTGACAGCAACTATGCCGGGGAACCACCTCTCCCAAAAGGAGGAGATCAGACTTGACTCAGCTCTTTCTCTACCACTACGCTCTTTTCCCTGGTTAGAGGTCATGAGCCAGGGTGGCCAGTGGGACGAAAGCACCAGGCTAGTTCATCTGAGCTTGGGCCCAGCGACGGGTTAGTGTAGACAGGGCACTCACCATACACCGCAATGCTCTTTGTGTCTTGCAGGATGGCATTCCCGGCAGAGACCTGGACTGTGATGGTGTTCATCCCTTCAGAAGTAAACTTGAATGATATGCTTCCCTCCAAGGTGATCAGAGGCTAAAATGGGTGAAGGCCCAGAGTCAGGGGACACTTGCTCAATTACAGATGAGACGGCCACTAGCTCTGATCCACCAACAAGCCACTTAAGTCAGCATAGGCTCTTCCTGGTGTGGCCCTGGGTGACCGGCTCCATCTATGCCTCCCCATCATCTCAAGTCCAGGCTAGAAAGGAGCTACGAGAACCACGACCCTAAGTGACTCTGCCCATTCCTTGTGAATATGACACCTCTCTTCCGGTGTCTTTACACAGCAATCTGGGGACACTGGTAGGTCTTGCTGTTTGGTGGGATATAGCTCTCTATCTGTAACCTGCTCAGAGCAGGCAGATCCCTTAATACAAAGAAATACTCAAATCAGACCAAAACAGGCAGTTCATATTAATCCAGATTTAAGCAGTAATCATTGAAAATCTGTAAGCTTCCGGTTGTTCATCTCCAGGGTGTACCAATTATAGAAAATTACAATGGAACACAGGGACCGTGGACACCAAAACTGTACTATTTAGACTGGAGTGGCCTTGTGTGGCTTGGTTCCTCTGAGAAGCCCTATCAGCAGTTTTTGGAAGTAGCTGCTATGGAAACAAGTACTAATTGGATAGTGGTTTGAGGACTGAAAAAAAGAAAAAAAGAAAAAAAAAAAAGATTTGGAGTAGTGCCTGTAATATAATCAGATGCTGGGGTCCTGGAGGAAAAGATTATTAGCTTACTGACCTCCCTCAACTCATTCCTCACAAACATTTTTCTTTCCTGTCTTTTCTTAATTAATGTTAAAATCTAAATTCATGTTCCTCCCTGTATGGCAGAGGGAAGACCAAAGCCCGGCATAAGAAGTCTACGCTACACAATCTGTGGAGAATTTGTTTTTTTGCTGAAAGATTTAAAAAAAAAAAAAAAAAAAAGAAAAAAAAAGGAGACACGGAAGAAAGTTGTTTAGTATGTTCACCTTCTAGCACTAGCTTTCAGGCAAATAACTTAGATTTCTCCCCTGCCACTGTGGGTAGTGGGCCCTACTGGGGTCAAATTTATATGCGAGGTTTCAGAAGAAAAAAAAAAAAGGCTTCTTTTCAGCAGCTGAGTCAAATTAGCCATAGAGGTGAGCGTTTCCTTCCCCTGCTGGGCATGTAGCAGGGCTGGGGTCAGGAGAGGTATCTTCCCTGGGCCTGTGCAAAATTAGGTCTCCAGTGAGAGCCAACATTAAGCTCTGGGGTAGAAACAGATTTGTATTGGAATAAGTTGCACTATATTTGAAGAGCAAAGCCCCCCAGTGCAAGAAAACGACTCTGCTGGAGGAAGATGAAGGGTTCTAGTCCCACCAACTCATCCCTGCGCCCCCTGGGGAGGCCTGAGGCTGGCTGCCTGCACTGACATCTGGAAGCCAATTTGAATCTCTGAGAATGGAGTCAGTTCAAAACAGAGCTTGCAGCCTAGTATGAGGGGAAAACAATTCCCGTGGGCACGGGGAGGCCTTGGATCCAGCCTCTGGTGAAGCCGCTGAATGAGGCGGGGAAACCACCTCCTGTGTGTCCTCCTCATTTTTTTCTGGAAAATGAAGGGCTTACAGTAAGTGAGGTTTATGGTCTCTATGGAGTTTAAAGGTGCTGCTGACTTCTGGTCACAGGCCATGGTTTTTCACAGGGAAAACATAAAGGGTAAAGCTGTGGCTACGTCTGATTCAGGGTGAGAAGGCCATTTGGGGCTGGGTTGTAGTAAGTATTTGTTGCTTCAGACTCTCTGTTATCCATTGGCTTTTTTTTTCTTTTTGTGGACCGTTTTCTGCCCTCTCTTGGACCATGTGGTTCCAAGGAGACTGATTTCATCACCTCTTTTTCCATTCCCACCACTGGGAAGGCTTGGTCAATAATACTCCATTCTGGGACATCTGTAAGAACTTCTATGAAAGACAGTTCATTTTCCCTGCTAGGTGGTGACAGTTAAATAGCTCAGGTTGCTGCAAAGGGTCTTTGCAAAGGCACATCTCACTGGAGAAGAAGACCAATGTGGAGGAAGATAAGGGGTAGGGGTGGTGCGGTGAGAGACAGACAGAGAGACAAAGGCAACAAACTGTTGAGATGACTGGTGTACTAAGAGCCTGCTCTCCCCGAAACGAGGACTACCCTAGACCCTTGAGTTACAGAAGCCATTTCATTTCCTCTTTTCCCTTCAGCCAGTGTGAGCTGAGCTGCCATTTGATGCCGCGTGGAAGGCTGACCCACCTCTGTGTTGTTTCCATACCACCATACGTAAGTGAGGGTGCCCACTTGGCTGGGCCACAGCACTGCAGTTGCGTTGACCTCTTTGTTCTTCGTGGTGACAAAGGGAAGAGACAGGTGTACATGCTCCAGGGGACCTGAGGCACAAGAGAAAAGACGAGTCATGCAGAAGGAAGAACTTTCTTTGCTTCACCTTTCCCTGCTCTGAAGAGAATATGTATTAGTTCTGGAAGTCTCCAAAACGTGACAGTCCTATTCCCTGAGGAAAGTGCCAGGGGTTGCCCCTGCTTTGGAGAAAAATATATATCGTGACCCATTGTATCTCAATATTTTCCACTTACTGGTCTTTCTTCCAGGCCTAAAACCTGAGTTATGTATGTGTAAAACTTTAGAAATTTACAAGTAATGTATGAAGTCTTTAAAAGAAGAGCCATGATACAAGACTTTATAGGAAGATGCAAAGTCTTTCCAAGAGGTCATATCTGTGGCGGTAAACAAGGATGAAGGAAACCTCATGGAGTCCAGGTGGGTGGCAGGGGGAGCTGGTGGTGGTGGTGACTTCACAAATCCCCAAACCATTTTAGATGTGATGATTCTTTACTCTTTGTTGGATTTTAAAGATCTGTGTATGTGTAGACACATATGTGTGTGTGTGTGTGTGTGTGTGTGTGTCGCTGCCTGAGCATATGTAACACCACCTGTTTGGTGTTAAGGTCAGCTTGTCTAGGACAAAGCATGCATGAGCAGGTAGAGACAGCCCTGTGGTTCTCAGGTTCTCAGGATGTGCTCAAGTGAAGAAAAAAAAAGGGGGGGGGAACGATTCTAACTACGGAGGCCCGCTAGATGGACAATATCATCCACATCCTGACCTTCAACTAATAAAGTTCATGCTTAGAACTCAAAAATCACCGACTTGACTCTGGACTCCATTAGGAGCCAAATGTTCCTAAGAAATTCATCATTTCCTACATGCCCCCCACCCCTTCTGTAATCTCCATATCTTAATGAAAAAACAAACAACAAAACCAATGTATATCCAGGGCACCAACCCAGAAGGATAAAGTCAATGTAGATTCCTTATTCCTTGCCACTCATTCTATGTTAGAAACCACGGATCTGGTTTCATAAATACCTTTCAGTTAGAGTTCCTCTCACCATCCCCAATCCTTCCCTGGCTCATACACCTGGACTGTCACGCTCCGTACAGATCTTCTGGCTTCCAACCTGCTCCCATGCTAATCCACCCTCCCGCTCTGTGTGTTCACTGCCTGCCTGCCTCAGTAATAGACAAGCTGCACCAAGTGCCACGGTGCCCAGAACAAAACATATGCTCCAGGGTGAAGGTAGAGCAAGTGTAAAGATCCTGAGGAAGAACTGGATCTCCATGTTTGTGGAATAGCAAGAAAGTTCAAGTGGCTGCAGTGAGAGGTGGAGGGAAAGAGTGGAAGCCATTGAGACCTAAGAGGTATTTGTACATATAGCATGTCAGTCCGTGTATCTGAACTATGCATATGTGGGTTGTATGAGTTCATTCTTGCATGTATACAATTTATATGTTCATACAATGTATGGCAATGACTACGTACCTCTCACCCTACAAACTGTTGTGAGAGTGATTTTTCTAGAAAGCCAAGTTGATCTTGCTTACTCACTTGTTCAAAACTAAATTTCGCACTCCCTAATTATAATGATGATGATAGTTAAGACCTATTGATCTAACATTTGTGAGACAGAGAACACAGGCTGCAAACTTTTGGAAGGTAAGAGTCTTTCATATTTACCTTTATACATAAAGGCTAGCATAGTTCCTGAGATGTAGCAGATAATCGAGTGTTTTGCTGGGTAAATAAACAGACAATGCAATTTCTTGTTTCTGCTTTTGTCTATGCTTCTCTCTCTTTATAGAATTAGAGTCTTGGTGACCAGAATACAGGCAAGAATTGATTTCCTGGTTTATAAGCCATATGATAAGAAGTAGTTGTTCATAAGTCAGAACGGTTCAATACAATAATAAAAGGGCAGCATTCGCTGAGTGATAACTATGTGCTACGTATTCTGCTAATGACCCTTTTGAGTCTCATTTGCTCCTCTCCACAGCCTTATGGAGTAGGCGATACTATCACATCTGCTTAGAGATGAACCAACAGAGGAAAGTGACTTTCCCAAGGTCATGCAGCTAGGAAACACCCATTCTGGGGTGTGGACCAAAGAAGTTTGATTTTATTTTTATTTTTATTTAAAAAAAAATTTTTTTTTCAACGTTTACTTATTTTTGGGACAGAGAGAGACAGAGCATGAACGGGGGAGGGGCAGAGAGAGAGGGAGACACAGAATCGGAAACAGGCTCCAGGCTCTGAGCCATCAGCCCAGAGCCTGACGCGGGGCTCGAACTCACAGACCGCGAGATTGTGACCTGGCTGAAGTCGGATGCTTAACCGACTGCGCCACCCAGGCGCCCCAAAGAAGTTTGATTTTAAAGCTCGTGCTCTAGCCAGCTGACAAATGCTCAAAAGACCTTTCTCTTTTTAACAAATTAGCTATTAAGAGTCAGCATCCACTGATTACTTAAATACATTCCAGGCACTGGCAAATGCACTTTATACATGTTCTCATTTCTTACACGGCTCTTGCTGTTTTACTCCAGCAGGCTAGGCCCTGTTCTGCCCTGAGGCCTTGGCTTAGACACCCCTCTCGAGGCACCTGCCAGTCTTCAAGTCTCAGTTCCAGGAACCACTCTTCTGGAATACTCTTCCTGACTCCCCTGATCTGAGTTAAATGACTCAGCTAGAAGACAAGGACTAGATGAGCTTTGTTAGACATGCCAGTTCCATTCTAACGGGGTTCATTGTCTTTGTCTCTCTCACATATGAGTACTTAATATATTTTTATTTTTTTATTTTTTTAAAAAAAATTTTTTAATGTTTATTTATTTTTGAGACAGAGACAGACAGAGCATGAACGGGGGAGGGTCAGAGAGAGGGAGACACAGAATCTGAAACAGGCTCCAGGCTCTGAGCTGTCAGCACAGAGCCTGACGTGGGGCTTGAACTCAATGACCGCGAGATCATGACCTGAGCCGAAGTCGGCCGGTCAACCGACTGAGCCACCCAGGTGCCCCATTAATATATTTTTAAAGTCAGAATATCAAAGTGAGGATGGTGCCTGTGTCCTCTTAATGGCAACAGTTGAATCCTCTTAGTGAAAAATGGTCACTAATTCATTCAATAGTTTTAGAGTGCTGCCATATGTCAGACATTATTCTAGGTGCTGGGGACACCTGGTACTTGGTGGGGCTTATGTATTATTGAGGGAGGCAGGCACTGAACACACAAAGCAGGGGTGCGTGATAGAGTGCTAGTTTTGTGTCTCAGAAGAAATGACACTGGAGCAGTGACCTGAATAAAGTGAAGGCGTGCACTATTTGTGATGCATCGGGGTGAGGGTAGAGCAAGTGCAAAATCTTGAGGAGGAAGTTTGCTCGCCATGTTTGAGGACTAGCAAGAAAGCCCAAGTGGCTGCAGGGGAGAAATGGAGGGAAAGAGTGGAAGCCAAGGAGACCTAGGATTCAGGACGCATAGCATGTTGGCTTGTAGGCCATGAAGTACGCATATGTGTGCATGGGTTCATTCAAATGTGTGCAATTTACCTTTCATACTCCCACCTTGTCCTCTTGTATTCATTTACTTTTTGTGCATTTGACATACCTAGTTTCTGCTGCCCCAAACCTAGCTTTTAAGCATCTCTTCTATGCACAGAAGGTGCAGTCTGAGCTAGGGGAGCCGTGGAAGCGAAACTCCAGTCCCTGGAGGCCCCCAGCTGGCTGGCTGCTCTAAATCCAGAGCTGAACAAGCTGGCAGAGGTAGCTCCATGACAAACGTGCCTGTGGTGCCGAAGAAGGGCGGCAGGTGGCACTGCATCACTCCATATGAATCTTTGCTGCAAGGTGGCTGAGGGAAATGGGAAATTACTTGTGTGAATCGGGTTTCCCTTCTCTTTTCTTGTTTAGTCCTAATGTGCTGCAGGAAGCAGCTGACGCCTGTGAAGCTGGACATCGTGCAAGCGCGTCTGTGTGTGTGTGTGTGTGTGTGTGTGTGTACACGTGCAATTACACACACAATGATCGTTTGGGACTGACTCTACCATTTGTCCTGGAGACCTCTGACTGTAGAATTGAATATTGTATGTGCATTACATTGATGTTTGTCTGAAATGTAAAAAAGCTCTAGGAGAAACTAAAGTAGTTCAAAGTATAAAGATGAAATCCTAAAACAGAGTCCCTTAAACTGCAATGTGCATACGGATTATACTAATCTGTTCAAGGCAGATTATGGGCACATTTCTAGAAATTCCAATACAGCAGGTCTGGAACTAACACTGCATCATTATCATGCAGTTCTGGGGTGGGTGACTCATTCAACCACGCTTTACAAAACTCAAGTCTAACATTTGCTGGCCAAGATAACAATGATGTGAAAAGTTGCAAAACTACATAGTTTTTCAACAAACTGATCACTTCACCCTAAGGTAAGAGCAGAAAGGCATCTGTAAATGCCTATGTTAGGAGGTAATTGCAGAGAGATCTAGAAAGTACTACAAAATCTAGCTCAACTACTTATTTTTAACCTTTCATTCTGCTAATCTGCACAGTATTTGGTGACTTTTTTCCTGCAAGTCTGCCTGAGATGGGGCAGCTTTCTGAGCAGAAATGTGCGTGTCCTCTAAATTCTACGCGCTCCCACCAGCTGAGGCCAACACTGGCTGCACCACCACGTGTCCCATTAGTTTGCAAACTAGCAGAGCACAGTAAATACTATCCCCAAGAACTTTCTGTCAGGCTACCACAGATTACCCAACCTCCCAGTGGGAATGGCTCACCCACTCCTGGAAACTTTACAGCAGGCACATCCTCTCCACTTGTTTCTGATGACTTCTGCAAACCCTTATTAAAAACTAAAACAAGAACAAAACCAAAACTCTCTGATTTGGACTCAAATCACCTTTCTGACTTGGAGGGTAGAGAGAATCTTTCTTCAAGACAGGAAATGGGGGAGAATTCTGGGCAAAGGGGAGGGTGTTAGTGAGAGAAGCGGAGGGTAGGGTTGGCGAAATGACCTAAGGGTTGCTGCTCAGAACCCACTAAGTAGAAACGCACGTGCTACTTTGTGATGATGGGAAATCAAGCTTTGCTAGTTGACAGGTCACAGCATATTTTGCTTGAAAGAACCTTTGAGAAACAAGATGTGCGTTCCTCACATGACAGCAGAAAATCTAGGCTCAGAGAAATGGAGTGACTTGGCCAGGAGTTTGGGCCAACTCCCAACTCAGTCCAGTGTTTGGGTTTCGTATTTTCTACAAAGACCACCCCCATCCCTGCCCCCATACCCTGGTACTGTGGCCCAAAATGGCCAAGAGACCCTTCAGGTTTGAGATTTGGGGGAATGTTAATCAATTACGGTCTTGTTCTGACTTCGTCTTAGTATACAATGGTGTCAAAGCACTTCTCCCATCTTCGTTTGCTCCATCTGCAAGAAAGGGCCGATGTTGCCTGTCATGGTACAAGTGTCAGGAGAAGCAAAGGAGGACATGTGCCTTTGCACAGTGACATGAACTTTAGGAGAGAAGTGGTGATGTGAGCAAATATGTCAGACCTGCCGAAACTGCTTATGATGGGGGTTTTAGATGTATGTGAGTTAAAGAAAGTTTAGAAAAAAATCCTGTTTTGATGCAGTTAGTAAAAAAGAGTTCATTCTTATCCCCAATGCCAGGCTTAGAAAGGGTTCCATTACATGAAGTATGCTTATCCAACCACTTAACCCAAGATAAGCCTAACAAAATTGCGATCAGAACACAAAACTTTCCAGGGGCGCCTGGGTGGCTCAGTCAGTTAAGCATCCAACTTCAGCTCAGGTCATGGTCTTGTGATTTGTGAATTCGAGCCCCGCGTGGGGCTCTGTGCTGACAGCTCAGAGCCTGGTGCCTGCTTCGGATTCTGTGTCTCCTTCTCTCTCTGCCCTGCCCCAACTTGTGCTCTGTCTCTCTCTATCAAAAATAAATAAATGTAAAAAACAAAAAATCTAAAAAAAAAAAGAAGAACACAAAATTTTCCATTACTAACCATCTGCCATTAAGGTGAAAGTCAAAGTACTGAGCCACTCACTCAACTAGGCTAATGCGAAAAAAAAAAAAAAAAAAAAAAAAAAAAAAGCCACTGAACAAAGCAGTACATTTCTTCTAGAAGCCATGGCTTCAGCAACCTTTAATCTCTGTGCTGTTTTCCTTCCCAGGGTTGAGTAAGGTTGGGAGAAAACCAGGTTAGGGAGCTAGCTCTCAGAGGATCTGATCATGTTTAAGGGGTGAGGAAGAATCCATAGGGTGACCAAGAGACCACGGTGTGGATGATCTATGGGAGAGCCTGAGAAACTGCGACACAAAGCTAGTGCTGAAGTTGAACTCGGTATTTACACATGGTTAGCATGTGGTAGATGTTTCATACACAGGCGAGATATGGAATAAAATCACTGTAATTTTTCAGGAGAGCCTGAATGGCTGTAAGGATAAAATCCCCCTTACAGAATAAGCCATGGAAAAACGACAGGTTGCTAGGTAGGTGGCCATTCTCAGCAAAGGTACCAGCATTTGTGTGGCAAGTTAGTTTTGCTACTAATAACCAATGTTGGTGAGGTACTTCTGAGAGATTTTCTGATTATTCATAAGTAAGAAAGATTATTTCTTAGCAAGAGACAACTCCAGAAAGTCCATACAGGACAGCCTGGGATGGGGCAGTCATGGAGTCAGCAGGAAAGGAGCCTATGGAAGGCACCTTGAACATATGTAGTGGTACAGCAAGGAGTTCATGTTCCTTCGGGACAATCTGTGAAGGAGTGGAGGGGATAAGGGTTGGTGGAGACAAGCTGCATCACTGACAAGACTGACCTCAGTGATCAAGAGCTGGCACTCCAGAGTCTGGCAGACCTGAGTCTGCAGCCTGGCTTTGCCAGATAGTAGGTCTACAAATGCATTATTCAAATTCCCTGACACCCACAGCTCTTTGTAAGTAGGGTTTCTAATAGTGCCTACTTCCTCGGGTCATTTTGAGACGTGAGATCATACATGCAAAGAGCTTGCTTAGCACAAAAGTGGGCACATAGTAATTGCTTCATAAACTTTAGCTGAAAAGAGGCAGGAGGAGTGGGCACACTGGGAATCTTGTACAACTTTGCTTCAACCCAAAGGAGGGAGGATGCGTTTCTTCAAAGCCCTTTTGTCATGAGTGTACAGGAGAGAAAGATCAAGAATTACTGCTGAAATCCTCAGTAATTAACAATCACTTGGGGAATCCCTGGATACTCTTGTCCTCCCACTAGACCAAAGAAGCTTAAGAAAAAAAGATTCGAGTTGGTATGTTCTATACTCAGTTTAGTTTCATGGGCCAGGGGCAGGTGGGAGGCATGGGATACTGCCTGGCCTTAATATTCTTCGCTTAGAATTTGGAATTAGTTTGGACCAGGCTGTCCATAAAAGGAGCTTTCATTTTAGGAGGCCAGTGCCTTCTCCATTAGGCCACCGGGGCTTCACATAGCTACTTTCATTCTAAAGCAAAGCATTCTGTAGCAATCTAAAGATGTCCTAAGCCTGTTTGGGGATGCCCACACCCCTGCCACAAGGGGCCTTCATGGCGCACGTTTGTACTACACGCAGCTTAGCAGCAGTCATGATGTCGTCAGACTTAACACATCTTTAGATTCCTCCGTGGGGCAAGCGCTTCGACACCTCTTGGAACTGCTTCATAATGCAGCTTCCACAACACTGTTTACACTCTTTCCCTCTCTTGACACCAACTTCTCTCTAGCACCGAATCATCACGGATAAAAGCCCAGGAAACACACTTTCAAAACAGGAGCACGAGTCTAAAAGAGTTATCAACAGTGAGGTGTATCATGGGAAGAGAAGAATAATGAGATGGGGAGAAATTCCATCACTAGTGCTAATTCTCAATGCAGTAGACTGAGCCATACACGGGAGTTGTTTTCAAACATTTCTTGCTTAAAAAAAAAAAAAAAAGACAAATCCATATTCAGTCAAATAGCTCAGCAAATTGCTTAGGCCCAGCCGTAGACACAGGTGTTTGATCTCAGAAGCATCTGGAAGAGGCACAGGAAGTGCCATGAGACCAATTGCAGGCAACGCAAATTCTAGGATTCTTCAAACTCTGTCCCCTGTTTTTATTTTCTCCCCATTTGGCTCTCTTATTCTCCTCTCCCCTTCTACTCAAAGATAACGTGTGAGCTGCTTCTAGATACGACATTTGGGGTTATATGTTAAAAGGACACAGCATTTAAAATATGTCATAAACCAACAACAGTAATAACATACAAGTTACATGTAAGTACAGGACGGCGCTGTCCGACCCCAGACCGTTGTCCACCTGCACCGTCACTCGGAAAATGCCCACGTTGTGATAGACATGTTTGATGCCATCTTCCATGGAGCTGAGGTTGACGTAAGACACTGCCACGCCATCACCAAAGTCCACTTGGATGAGTGTCCTCTGGACGTCACCCTGAAAAACAGCCCAACATCAGGACAGGGGAGTTGGTGCTTGCTGCCTCCGCTCTAGGGGCTTCTCCTGGTTCTTGGCTCTGGGAAAATGGCAGACTCTGGCTCCCTCCTACAGCTGGGAGCATCTGTCTGTGTTTGACAGAATCCCTGTGACATTCCCTAGCAGACAGGAGCTTACCAAGATGGACGGTCTCCAAATCTGAAGGGCACTGATGACCGAAAGTTTCAAGGTTTGGAAAATTCAGTGTTCGTTAATCAGCTCTAATTTGATATTCAATTTCTCAGAGGGATTTGTTTATGCTCTTAGCATCCACGTGAATAAAAGGTATACACACACAGCTTTAAAAATTCAGCCTACCCCACATGGTCACAGACCTCTCCCATGTGTTCGGAACCCCTGGGCCCCTTATTTCTGGTTCCCTAACCATATAAGGAGAAGCATAAAAGACATCTTGCCTCGCACCTGATATGACATTGGACTCAGCCCTGTTATTAAGAGAATAAAGGTTAATGCTTTCATACTTCAGCATTTTGTGCTATCAGAATGATAACATTTTATTCTTCACAGAATCTTAGTTGGGAGAGAAAAAAACAGGCCAATATTTGCCCATTTTACAGGTGGGGAAGCTGGATGTTTTAATGATCTGTTCAAGGTTAACATGGCTAATTGGCAGCAGACCTGGATTTGAGCCCATCTCCCTGGATTTGCATCTCATTCATTACAGGTGGGTAGAACACTGATGGCTCCCTGTGCTTGGATCCCAGTGTGGCAGTAACAGGCTGCATGACTTTATGCATTCAGCCTCCTTGGGTGTCCATTACCTCATCTATGAAATGGGCATAAGAATACCTTACTTTCTTAACTTGAAAGGTTGTTCTAAGACATGTGAGTTAATCAGTCATCTCTAAAACTCTGCTTCAAAATAAATTACTGTCAAAACAACGCAGCTGTGAAAGACCTGCCATAACCCTTTTTACAGCTGGACTGGAATCCTACCATTCTTTTTTTTTTTTAATCATTTTTTTTTTTAACGTTTATTTATTTTTGGGACAGAGAGAGACAGAGCATGAACGGGGGAGAGGCAGAGAGAGAGGGAGACACAGAATCGGAAGCAGCCTCCAGGCTCCGGGCTGTCAGCCCAGAGCCCGACGCGGGGCTCGAACTCACGGACCGTGAGATCGTGACCTGAGCTGAAGTCGGACGCTCAACCGACTGAGCCACCCAGGCGCCCCTGGAATCCTACCATTCTAATATTCCCACCGGTAGGCCAGGAGAGGGAGGATCAGGTCTGCTTTATGAAATCCGGGACCTGTAAGAAAATTGCCTTTTGGAATAACAGCAGAGATTATTTAGGAACAAAGTTGCTTAGACCTTAACCACAAAAAACAGCTTCCTTCCCATGCAGCCCATCCTTTATCAAGTTTCAAGTTTTCTGTTTGTTTTCTTAGCTTTTCCCATTTTAACTGGGAGAAAAAAACCTAAAAGCAAACAAACAAACAAACACCTTTTAAATAAAAAATATTTTCGATTAAGTAAGGTTCATCTGGTATCATATTTTTTTGAAAAGGCCAAGTTTAAAATGCTGACATTTAAAAGGCTAATTCACAAGGAAAGGAAAAGCCGTTCAAATCCTATGAATCTCCATGACCTACTGTTCTGTTCTATGCCCAGCCAAGCACTGTGTGGGGGGCACACTAGCTAACTCTCAGTAGGGCATGGGCAAGAACTCTCCCCTAGGGTGGGAGAAAGAAACTCCATTCAGAACTACAAGACAGATTAGCCACAAGCCCAGACATGGTGCAGTTACCTGAATTCCCTTCACTAATAAATATAAATGTCAACCATTCTTGCTGACTTGTCCTTCATTTGCACAAATCAGACTGATCAATTTCTCATGCTGTTTCTGCTCATTTGTCTCATGTTTTCTGGATTTTCAACAGAGTTGCTGCCAGACAACCATAGGTATGGGCACAGAAGAAGAAACCACCTTAAGATCTCACATCATTTGGGACAAGTGTCCCGGGAATTATCAGGAATAGCTAGGGTTAACTGGGTTAACCGAGGAACAAGACAGGCAATATAATTTCTGAGAGGGCGAGAGGGAGCTAGCAGGAGAGCTCAAGCAAACTAGTGCACAGGCACTTGAGTAGGAGGGAGGGGCAGGAAGGGAGAAAAGGAGAGACTGAGAGGGACAGTGAGGGAGGAGGAGAGAGAGGGGAAGGGGTGAG